TTTTCTCTTTTTTTTTAAAGAGAGAGAGAGAGAGAGAGATTTTTAATATTTATTTTTTAGTTTTTGGTGGACACATCTTTGTTTGTATGTGGTGCTGAGGATCGAACCTGGGCCGCAAGCACGCCGGGCGAGCGTGCTACCACTTGAGCCACATCCCCAGCCCAAAACTTAATTTTCTTAAAGAAAATGTTTCTCAAAATTGAGAACCTTAGGACCTAAGAATACACTTACATATCTCTACAACACTGTTTAAGATTTTCTTTTTCCCTAAAGCAAAGAATCTAAAATTTATTTAGCTGGAGATGTAGCTTGGTAGCAAAGTGCTTGTCTAGTATTCTCAAGGCCCTGGGTTTGATTCAGCACCACAAAAAAACATTTAAAAAAAATTGAAAATAATAAAATATATTTAAAAAGTGGACAACCTAGAAGTCATGTGCTTTTTGCAGAATTCCATGAAAAAAATACAATATTGTACTAAATGTAGGTTCCAGACCTGCCGTGTTCAATATAGTAGCCACTAAGGCAAATGTGGCTATTTATATTTAAAGTAATTAAAATCAAACACAATTAAGAATCAGTTACTCAGTCACACTAGCTTTATTTCAAGCGCTCAGTAGTCACAAGTGGCAAGTGGCTACCATATTGGACAGTGCAGATATAGAACGTCTCCAACATTTCACAAAGTTCTATTGCATGTGCTATTTTAGATTCTTCTACAGTTAAGAAGTAGCATGCCCAAATGGCCTAAGAAAAAACTATGGGAGAAAAATTCCATACAATTTGTCTGAACTGAGAGGGAAATGCTGTGAATAGGCTTTAACTGGATTGACCCAGGTGTGGCAGCACATGCCTATAGCCCCAGCTACTTGGGAGGTTGAGGCAGGAGGATCACCAGAGCTCATGAATTCAAGATCAGTCTGGAGGGCTGGGTTGTAGCTCAGTGGTAGCACACTTGCCTAGCACTCATGAGGCACTGGGTTCAATTCTCAGCACCACATATAAATAAATAAAATAAAGGTCCATTGACAACTAAAATAAATAAATAAATAAATAAGATCAGTCTGGAGAACATGGTACATGGTGAGATCTCAATCTCAAAAAAGCAAAACAAAAAAATAAAGGTCGAGTAATATTTAAGTTTGTTTGCTTTTTTTTTTTTAAAGATGCAAAACCAAACAAAAATTTCCTAAGTGCTGATGGAAGAGGCCCAGTCACCAAAGTGTGGTTTGCCAAGCAATGCTCCATGGGCTGACCCTACAGGGCCATTTCAGAGTGCTCTGTGTTTTCACAGGCAAAAACCCAGATGCTAGGTTGTCTTCTCATTCACCTTTGAGGAAGCTGCTCAATGACTCAGAGCATCTCTTCCATCTGACCTAACTCCCTCAGGCTACATTTGCTGATGTCCTTCTCTCCTACAAGAGAAGACAGCTACCTAATCCTTAAGAAGCAGCAGACAACTAGAATACTAGAATTTATTAGGTATACAAAACAAAAGCCACTAAAAAGATACAAATTCCCAGGGCTGGGGTTGTGGCTCACTGGTAGAGCACTTGTCTAGCATGTGTGGGGCACTGGGATGGATTCTCATATAAATAAATGAATAGGATAAAGGTAAATAGGATAAAGATAAATTTAAAAAATTAAAAAGATACAAAACTCCACTGGTCTTCCTGTTTTTTTTTAAGGACAGAATGATTCTCTCATTTCTTAAGGAAAACATGAAAGCGTCAACTCCTTTTAAGACAGGAGAGGATTGGGGGTGTCACTTAGTGGTAGGGTGCTTGCTTAGCATGCACCAGTCCCTAGGTTTGATCCCTAACATTGCAAAAAAACAGAAAACAAAAAACACAAAAATAGCAGAGACCTCTCCCCTCCCCCCACCTGCCCAGGTAGCTTTCACATGCATTTTTTAAATGCCATTATTTTATTTATTCATTTTTATGTGGTGCTGAGAAGCAAACCCAGTGCCTCACACATGCTAGGCAAGCACTCTACCACTGAGCCACAACCCCAGCCCTCACACACACACATTTTTAGAGACAAGAACAGAATGAAGGAAATCCAGGAGGCCATCTAATCCATAGAACCCACAGGCAAATGTAGAATCAAGTGCAGATTTCACCTTAAAGTACCTGGGCCACAGGATCAATTAGAAGTGAAACAATGATATGAGTGACTGTGGTTTGGAGTCCCACTTCACTATGAGAGAAAAAATCATTTTAATCCACTATCCCACCACCAAGTGATGTGCATGCAGTCTCCTCCTTACCTCCTTGGGAGGGCTGGGGGGAGGTGGCAGGCACCTTGGGTTGATGGCAGGTTTGGGGGGAATATACTCAGTCACAGCCATCAGCTTCTGACGTTCAAAGTGCATCACACGACGGTGGCGGGTTACGGCCTTTGAGCCATAGCGGACAGTCTGGAGGGTGGGCAGCCGGCCTGAGGGAGGAGATGGTAACACAGTGAAATACAATCTTTTGGAGGCCCTAGTTTGCCCCAAATGGAGCAAAAGCACAGCCTCTAGACAGACACAACATGGCTCACAGAGATAGACAAGGAAGTGCCTGCCAGAAATCCTGAAATCCCAAACCTTCTCTTTTTTAGTGGGTCAGCTGCTTGATCTCTTGAGGCTCCCATTTCTCCAGCTTGCTTTTTATGCAGAGATGGGATAAAAAATGAGAACAAAGGAGAAAATATTTCAAACACATTAAACAAAGGGGGAAAGGGTTCAGCAAATCTTTTCCTAAATGGACAAATAGTAAATATTTTAGATTTGGGGGCTGTACTATCTGTCACTTATATTCAACTATGCCAAAATGTGACCATGGACATTTATGTAAAAAACAGATAAGGTTTGTTCCAATAAAACTTTATTTATAAAATACAGTGACCAAGGGCTGGAGGTATAGTTCAGTGGTAGAACACTTGCCTAACATACTCCCGAGTTTAATCTCCAGCACCACAAAACAAAACAAAAATAAAAAACCTCAGTGACTAGCCTTGCCATGATATGCCAACCCCTGGTCCAAGTCAGTGGTTTTTGAAGTATAACCTACCCTCACTCAGCCATCAACATCAGCATCCTCCAATAGTCTGTTAGAAATACCTGCCCTAGACCTATTGAATCAAACTCTGGGGTAGGGCTTAGCAGAGTGTTTTAGTAAAACCCTCCTGGTGGGGGCTTGAGATATAGCTTGGTAGTAGAAAGTTTCTCTAGCACAGGAAAGGCCCAGAGTTTAATTCCCAGTAACACCAAAAAAATAATAAGTTCTCCTGGTGATTCTGATGCATGCTCAAGTTTGAAAACCATGCTCAAACACTGCCTGTGAGGGCTGTTCCTATCATTTGAAGCAAGGGTAGGCACACATTTATGACCAGAATGCTACCTGACCATTATGCTACTCTTCCACATCTCTCTTCCCTTCTCTCTTCTTGTTGACAGGCAATGCTTGAGCGCACCCCTCAGAAAACAAAGAGACACTTAAAGCCCTGAGCTAAAGTGACCCCTTCATCCTCAACACAAGGGCCAAGCCTAATGTTTCCTAATTTCAGCCCCTCCCAAGGCTGAGATGGGACCTCAGAAAAAGGGTCTGCTAGAAGGTAGCTCTGACAGACAGCATGGAGACCTGCTAGGGCTAGAAGTTTATTGCCAGTGGCCACAAAATCTAATTGTTATAAGTGGCTTTGGAATCGGATTAAACTGAATTTTAATATTTCTTCAGCCACTTACTAAGTGTGACCTTGCCCAGTCACTAAACTGGTCCAAAACTTGTTTCCTCATCTGTAAAGGGCAGATGGTAATCCTTTCCTTACAGTATGCTTCAAGATCTAAATGGGATAATATGTGTAAAACATTTATCACAGTTCCTGGCCTATAATAAATGCTCTAATTAATTCATTAAACAATTATCTCCTGCATGCCACTAAGGTCAGAAACCATGCTGCCTGTTGGCTATGCTGTATAAATGATTCTGTCCTTTCAGAGCTTAACACAGGAGATAAACGAATAAATAAAAGTAAACTTACAGGCTATAATGGGGCGAGGGGGTCAGTAAACAGGGTACATGATACAGAATTAACTGAAGAAACCTGCTTTACAGAGGTCAGAGGGAAAACTTGAGGAAGCGACAATCAGCCTGCCATTCAGAAGGAGGCATACAGCAAAAGTTCGGGCAAAGACTGTTGCAACCAGGGGCGAGAGCTAAGTGGTGGGGTAAAGAAACCCAAGGCAGGGGGATCGGGACGTAAGGAATAAATGCTTTTGTTGGTGACATCGTTGCCATGATAATCTGGAGTCACAGGGAATTAGATGGGATAAGACCCGCGATCTAACTGGTGTCAGGGATCACCAGGACATCTCTGGAGTCAGAGACAACCGGAAGTGTCAGAAGTAGAGGAGGGGAGACGAGGATTAGAGAGCGCTGGCCAAATACGCAGTGAGATCTTACGGGCCGCTCCTTACCCGCCTGGGGCAGGAGACCCCCTCGCAGCATTCCAGCCGCGGCCGCAGCCATCGCCACCGGAAAAACAGACAGAAGCGGTACGGAGCCGGAAGAAGCTAAGGATTATGGGCCAGCGAACCCTGGGGTCGGAAGTGGTGGGCAGATCTTCCGGATAGAGCCGTAATCCGCATGCGCAGAGCGGCACCCTCTCTTCACTTCCTCTCTAGCTGGCGTCTGGTATCCTAGCAACGACACGAACTCTTGGAAACCGCCCCTTTCTTATCCCTCCTACCCACAACCGCCCAATTTGCTGCCAGCAAAGTCTTTCCACACCCCCACAAACTCCAAACCCTTCATCCCTATTTACTTGTCTTCGACTACATCCCTAACAAGTTGTTCTGAGTCAACCAACCCCTTTCCACTGTCTCCCAAGTCTAGGATTCTCTCTCGCCTGCCATTCTCGGTTTGGCCATCCTTAAGAACAGTCCATCCTTAGGAACTTCTCCGCTCTTCTTCGTTCCTCTCTCGCCTCAAGCTAGCAGCTGTCTATTTTACATCATGCCTGGGGGTAAGTAGGGAAGTGGGTTGGTAAGTAGAACAGTTGGACAACGGTAGGGTCAGCCTCCAAGAAAGAAGAAAGATGACAATTGGACTCATGTTTTCACAGCTAAACTTGCCCAGAGTCCAGAGGAAAAGGATGTCTACATTACTGAGGCCCTTATTACTGAGCGGAACTTGACCTACCCTGAGGATGAAGATCTGTCAGAGAAGATGTGAGTGCGGGGCGGGGGGGGGGGGGGGGGGGGGGGGGGGGGGCGGGGCGGGGGG